TATGAAGGTACAGCACCTCTTAAAACTCACTCTGATCGTTCTGATAAGAAAATAACTACTGAATTTGTGGGTGACGTCATCAAACTCACCACGGATCCCTACATCAAGTGCCGGAAGGAAGTAGTGCCGCCCTGGGTCAAGAAGGTGGCTGCTGGAAGACCTGGCAAAAGAAATCTGCATGATGTCACACAAGCAGAGAAACCCAATCATGGCTGTCGGACAATTTCTGCGACCACATCACCCCTTACATATGATCACCCAATTCTCCAGACTGTAATAATTTTCATTATTATGTGTGGGGCGCAGTTGAGCAACAGACCAGCAAAACTCTTTGAAACACCAAAGATTATGACATCAGTCACCAACTTAAAAAAGGAGACTGCCTAGAAGAGTTGCGGGAGATACCTAAGTCGTTTAGAGGCCGTGGTTGCAGCCAATAGAGATTTCATTGACTAAATTTACTCTTTAGTATTAGAGTAGAGTAAGTATTAAGGTAGAGTACCTCGGGTTATGTACGGTATGATTTAATTTTCAAAATGGAAACGTTACATGAATACAACAATCTATTTAATTTACTGATCGAAATGCATACGTTCGAATCAATATATATATATATATATATATATATATATATATATATATATATATATTGATGCATGCTTCATTAAATAATATAGACAAGTTGTGTCTATTTATTTTAAGTAAGTTCCTTTCATATTGTTTGATAAGCTTAATAACATTATGATAACATTATCTCGTGTAGTCATGAGTGACGTCACGAGTTGCTATGTGATTTTCGCTTCCGCGTCTCATATACACGAGTTTGTCGTTGCTTTGAAATTTTTCATGCAACAAAAGCAGACTATCATTATTGTTTCGTCCATCTATTGTTTAATATATTGAAATGTAATTGTCATCTTTGATAATGGCTTATGTAAGCCGAAAGATTAGATCAGATTTAAACATATATCAATATGGTGATTTCCTTTCGTCTTTCAATGATAAATTTATTAAGCGTATCAGACAATATGAAAGGAACTTACTTAAAATAAATTGACACAACTTGTCTATATTATTTAATGAAACATGCGTCAGTGAAAAATTGCTGCCTAAATATGTGACACTCATACACACACACACACACACTAATATATATATGAAGAAATATAGTTTTTGTTGTAGAGTGGTTTCACAGTGGAGGCTTGTATTTGTACTAAGTCGGTCCTAAAATAGGTTCGACATACAAAACGTTAGGAACTTGATATAATAGGTAATGACGTAGTAATCTAGTTGTGGTCGCTGATACTTTAATATCCGACTAACGGTCGTCCGACATAGACTGACTGACCAACGATATTTAATCACCCCCCCAACAAGGGCATCATGTGGTACAAGGCCGGTTTAACGTGGGATATTCGAGCCCGTGGGCTCGGCCAAAAATATGCCCATTGAACCCGTATAAACGGGTTCAGGGTCGGTTTACCTCCCCGAAAGAGAATCCGCCCTTCGGCGTAGCCTCTTTCGGGTTCCTCTCCGCCCAAAGGCAGAGAGTTCAACCGATCAGCCAGTCGACTGACTGACCAACTCCCTAAGCGACTCCTACTAGTCCTACTTATTATAGGTGGGAGAATCTATTAACTATAGAATAGGTGTGTTCCACTATAAAAGTTTTAAGGTGTCCTATATTTATGGGATAAAGTGCTCAATATCTGAGATATGTGTATGTAAATATAAAAGTGAAGATGTTTCAGAAAAGAAACCAGAAATAGACTGGATCTCTCATTTCATCAATGTCGTACTCCTGATGAGGTCTGGAAATGTTTCCGTACTGGGGTCCTCGCGAGACATCTGTAGATCGTTACCGTTCCGCTAGTAGAGCGATGTATTCAGTGGAACCAGAGCTGAGAAGGCGTTTTTGTTAATGGAAGAAAAGAGAAAATACCTAACGATGCTGTCAGGTCGACAAACAATGTATACAGTATGGTATTAAAGAGGTAAGCAAATTTTTAGGAGTTGTTTGTTGACATATATATCATCATTACATCACTTACCAGAATGAAATTAAAACTGTGCCGTGAGGAGCTGACTTTCCCTAAACGATGAGAAATTAGTTAATATAATGTTCATTAATACTTTCACCATGATGGATCCAATTGAGATACCTCTGTATGCGTGAGGGCCTTGACGGCTACCTTTCTGTTTACATAAAAAGTAGGGTTTTAGTTCCCCTAATTGGTCAAATAATTCAAATAGTGATATTAATTTCTAACCAATAGACACTTTGATTTAAACGATGTGTATGGAAAGTTGGCTCTCTGTGCCGCGCCAAGAAATTTTTCTCCCCGGAATCGATACTTCAAATATACAAATCAACCATTCACCCTTGGATGGAGTATTGCAGCCATATATGGTCTGGTGCACCTTCTGTTTACCTCGGAGTTCTTGACAAGATCCAGAAACGGATATGTAATATAATTGGCCCTGATCTGGCGTCTCGTCTACAGTCAGTCTCTCACAGACGCGCCGTCGCCTCTCTCTGTCTTTTCTACATATACTTTCATGGTAATTGCTCCGATGAGCTGCTTTCACTGGTTCCCAGACTCCATGAATTCAAGCGCCCTACGCGGCTGGCATCCCGCTCTCATCCTTACACTGTAGAAACTTTTAAATATAGCCGTCTCTTCTACTCCAATAGCTTCATACCTCGCACCTCTCGCCTGTGGAACACCCTTCCCAATTTCTGTTTCCCTGAGAGCTATAATCTATAACTATTCAAATGTAATGTCAATCGACATCTCCGGTTACCTTGATCCCTATCCCTCTCCTCATCCTTTCTTCTGTCACTCCTATCTGCTCTTGCTCCAAATCTTCTGCAACCCGCTGCATCCTAGTGGCTTCACGCCTTGCTCGGGGCGTAATGCTTAAAAAAAAGAAAAAAAAAGAAAAAGAAAAAAGGTACTGTTGAAGCGTTTAGGGTCATTTTTCTGTCATTGGATAGAAAATGTTGTAATGAAATGTCCCACAATCCCTATCCCCTATGTGGACTGATTACATTAGTAGAAATATATACAGTGTGACTCAAAAGTGTTTGCACCTATAACATTTCTATAATATACAAATTTAAAAATTTAAATTTATACGATGTCAACAGCAAATTGGATCTCATTTCCTCCTTATACTACTACTGAGCACTGAAATGTTTCCATATTGGATCCTTCACCAGACACACAAGATTCTGTAGATCAATACAGTTGCTCTTATCAGACCGATGAATTCAGTAAATTTGGAGCTTGGGGAGAGGTTTCTAATGGATGAGAAGAGGAAGTCTCTGTACGATGGGGCCATATGCTGCTGTGAAGTCGGAAAGAATTGGAATTCTTTGATGCCATCGTTGCATTCTTTACCAGAACGAAAACCAGAGTCGTGACTTTCATAAAACTGCCTTGTTAATATAATGTTCATTAATACTTTCACCATGATGGAACCAACTGGGATACCTCTGTATCTGTGAGGGTCTTGAGAGCTATCCTTTCTGTACCACTAACGCATTCATGCGAGACAGACCCTACTTTTGGGGGTGCATTTCTCATACCAGATTTCTATCATAAAATAGAGAAAGTAAGCTATTTTCAAATTGTCACGTGATGCTTTATTATTCCTTATTTTTTAATAGGTTTCTTAATTTCATCCTTAGTATGTTTATTATTGTTTATGCTTGGAGGCGAGCTTTGTAATGGCTAAATGAATATTGCTATGTGTTTTATTTTCACGGGTATCATTAGTCTGGTCAGGGTTGAAATGCGACTCGTAATGTTTCTTGAGACCAGGCCACTTCTTCTGCAGAGGTTTTTATTGTATGATATTATTGTGATTTTTTTTGCTATTCCCCACATTTTAACACATTATTTATACTGTTTTTCATCATTAACTTCCAATTTTCCGGATATTCTCATTTACCAAAGAAAATTCAAAGGATAAGCGATCTAAAATCCGAAGAAGAAGCTTTGAAAGCTCTTTGAATTTAACAGTAAGTACTGTCAAGCATCCGTTCAGTATAATGTTCTGGGGATGCTTTTCTTTTCATGGAACTGGTTTCTTAAAACATATTGAAAGACCCTCAGGAGCGAGTAGTACAAGAGAATTTTAGAGTCTTGTCTGCTCCCTTCTGCTGAAAGGGTGCAAATCGACCCCACCAAGCTCATTTTTATGTAGGATAATGTTCCCTGTCACAAATCAAAATTGATGAAGGAATACTTTGATGAGAAGCAGGTGAGTGTTATGACATGGCCGCCCCAATCTCCTGATCTCAACCCAATAGAAAACTTACTGACAGTACTTACTGCTAAATTCAAAGAGCTTTCAAAGCTTCTTCGGATTTTAGATCGCTTATCCTTTGAATTTAGCTCAACTTTCGTTTCATCGGAGAAGAGAACATTTAGTAAAAAAAATTAGATGAGTCACTTTTATCCAACAGCACTGTATATGATAAAAAATAAAATAAATAAAGCACTGTATAAAATAAATAAAGCACTGTATAAAACAAATAAAGCACTGTATAAAATAAATAAAGCACTGTATAATACCTACGTAACTTCGAAAATTTCAAATATAATGGCCATGTGTGTAATTAAACAAAATCATATATTTTTTAATTCTTCAAAGTATGAATAATTTAGATCCATTTTTGTGAAATGGCTACAATTGTTTTATGGCTACGAATTCTCTGTGGACCACTAGAAATGCTATGTGGACCACTAGAAATGCTATGTGGACCACCGGTGGTCCACTTGGACCACGTTGAGAAACACTAATGTAAATAATGAAAAGGTTAAGGTAATTGAGCAAAAACAGACAATGATTGAGTGAATTAGGATACATTGCCGGCACATGCTTATTTGAAGACCCATATTAAACCGACAGGCTAATATTTATCCTTGTGTATAGGCAAATAAATTTGGTAATGAGTGCAGCCTTGTACCAGGCTGATTACCATATAGTTCATGGTGATTCGTGTCTGCAATGAGAAACTACTAATCGGCCGGATGAATTCTTTCAAGTACGACCCACCGCCAAAGCCGGCGTCCTGGTCTCTTTCCCTGCCTCATTCAAATCAATTCCTTTCTCTCCCTTTGCACTCTCTAGACCCGAACCACTTGACCAATTATCGCCAACATCAGTAAATCACGATCTACGTCATTAACGACTGCAACTTCATTAAATACTCATACTTGCTATTTCACGTCTCGACCAATGGACGCAAGGTGGCGCTTTGATCCTGTGTCATTTTGCGCTAATTAGGTCTCGTCGTGGGAGAGCTCATATCCAAAATGGCCGTCGAATAACGTCGACGGCGGGAAAAAGAGAAACGTATTTACTTCTCCAACACCGGCCCGGTATCGCTATTTCGTATGAACGTCTCTTTACTCATTTAAAAAGCCAGTTAACTCGAGGTGGTTTAGTCATATATATATATATATATATATATATATATATATATATATATATATATATATATATATATATATATATATATATATATATATATATATATATATATTTTTACTTTTATTTCATTTTTATTTCTTTTTTTTTTTTTTTGTTTGTTTTGGTGCAAGTTAGCGATTACTATTGGCTGTTATTCTGATACAAGTATTTTATGTGCTGCTTCTAAATGTTTTATGGAGGCTGGCCTTTTTATGTTCATCTCCCCAGTGACTACGTCGCTGCCTTTTTCGTTTTATCACATTTATTACCGCCGCTGCCTTCTTCTTCTTCTTCTTCTTCTTCTTCTTCTTCACAAAAATTAAACAATAAATCTCAGTTAACTCTTTAGGTAAAGACATGGATTCATATCTTTCACAATAACATTTGCTCGTAAGGGTATTTCATTGCTATATCAACTTCATGAATTTAAGCGCATTTGTAGTTTGGCTGCTAGGTCTCATAGATTGGAATTAACAGATGTAACCGTAAGTTCTTTTCTAACAGTTTCTTCCTTAAAATTCTCGCTTTTAGAACTCTTTTCCTGTTTCTTGTTTTCCCGTTTTGAGTTTTAAAAATGTAAATGCGAGGTCACTCATCATCTTTTGTCGACTTATTTCTTTTCCTTTGATTGATTCCTTCTCCTTAATAATGTTTTTGTTCCACCACTCAGGCAAGAAAGTAAAAATACATTTTTTACGCTTCGGATCTACAAAGGGGACATCATTGCAAGTTTTAATTAGTGCATGGTGCTAGGAATTGTCACCATCCAGTGAAATGATACTTGAGTCTTTGTTTGTTTGTTTGTTTGTTTGTTTGTTTGTTTGTTTGTTTGTTTCTTTCTTTCTTTCTTTCTTTCTTTCTTTCTTTCAGTGCTTTACATAATCCATGGCTCTTTTTCTTTCTTTCTTTCTTTCTTTCTTTCTTTCTTTCTTTCTTTCTGTGCTTTACTTAATCCATGGCTCTTTTTCTTTCTTTCTTTCTTTCTTTCTTTCTTTCTTTCTTTCAGTGCTTTACATAATCCATGGCTCTTTTTCTTTCTTTCTTTCTTTCTTTCTTTCTTTCTTTCTTTCTTTCTTTCTTTCTGTGCTTTACTTAATCCATGGCTCTTTTTCTTTCTTTCTTTCTTTCTTTCTTTCTTTCTTTCTTTCTTTCTTTCTTCCAGTGCTTTACTTAATCCATGGCACTTTTTCTTTCTTTCTTTCTTTCTTTCTTTCTTTCTTTCTTTCTTTCTTTCTGTGCTTTACTTAATCCATGGCTCTTTTTCTTTTTTTATTTGTTTGTTAGTTTCTTTCTTTCTTTCTTTCTTTCTTTCTTTCTTTCTTTCTTTCTTTCAGTGCTTTACTTAATCCATGCCTCTTTTTCTTTTTTTGTTTGTTTGTTAGTTTCTTTCTTTCTTTCTTTCTTTCTTTCTTTCTTTCTTTCTTTCTTTCAGTGCTTGAATCATTTTCTGTTTCTTTCAATTCCTGTCCTTTGATTGTTTTCTCTCCTTAATGATGTTTTTTCTTCATATTCTTTTACACTCATTAAACCCTAGTGTCTTAGTGGTTCTATAGCCTTGTTTTTTTGTTTTTTTGGAGGGGATGATAAAAAAAAGGTATGAAGGGAACTAAAATAAAACTCGAAAACAGCTTTGCGATTTCTCATTTCAATCTGTTATCTATTACACCATCCGCACACCCATCTTATTCAGCAGTTCTTCCTACAACCACATACTTAGATGTCATACATAGAGAGTGAAACAGATTAACTCATCTATAAAGCCTCGACCGCTACGATTTCGCTATTCCCGTAAGAAGCGAAAATATATATTTTTGTGTTTCGGATCTACAAAGGGAATATTGCAGCAGGTCCTTATTAGGACATCGCTATAGGATTTATCACTATCCGGTTGAACTATACCCAAGTACCCAATCAGCGTTTACCGCAAACCCTTAGATGTTTAACGAGGTTTTTTTTTATCACAACAGACTTACTTTTTAACACCAGGTAAAATAACAGATTCAACAGACATTTTTTTCTTCTTTCATTTATTCATTTATCTTTTATTTCTTTTTTCATTTTTATTTCTTTCTCTCAATCTCTATTTGTTATATTTCCATGGCTCTTTTTCTTTGTTTATTTGTTTGTTAGTTTCTTTCTTTCTTTCTTTCTTTCTTTCTTTCTTTATTTATTTATTTCAGCGCTTTACTTAATCCATGGCACTTTTTCTTTCTTTCTTTCTTTCTTTCTTTCTTTCTTTCTTTCTTTCTTTTCTTTCTTTCTTCACTGCTTTTCATTTCTTTTTCTCTAATCTTTACTTCTTTCTTAGTGATACTTTCTTTCTTTCTTTCTTTCTTTCTTTCTTTCTTTCTTTCTTTCTTTCTTTCACTCAATGCATGTCACTTTTCCTTCCTTTCTTTCTTTCTTTCTTTTTTTGAGGGCTTTACTCATTGCATGTCGCTTTTCCTTTCTTTTTTGTTTCTTTGTTTCTTTGTTTCTTTCTTTCATTCTTTGACAGCTTTACTCAATGCATGTCACTTTTCCTTTCTTTCTTTCTTTCTTTCTTTGAGGACATTACTCAATGCATGTCACTTTTTCTTTCTTTCTTTCTTTCTTTCTTTCTTTCTTTCTTTCTTTCTTTCTTTCTTTGAGGGCTTTACTCAATGCATGTCGCTTTTCCTTTCTTTCTTTCTTTCTTTTTCGACCTTTATTTTTCTTTTCTTTTTACTTTCCTTTGCTTTTTTTTACTTTCCTTTAGTTGTCACATTTTATTCATTTTTTCTTCTTCTTCTTTGTTTTCTTCTGCCTATCTCCGTTTTCTTTTTATCTTTCTTTTCTTTTCTTTTCTTTCTTCCTTTTTTTCACTACCCTCAGGCGACTCGTTTTAAATTCCAAAGCGTTCTTTGATCATGTAATGGTTTTTATTTACCAACAATGAGAAAGCAATCATTGGTCTGCAACGCGTGTTTTGTTTGTAAGTGGCACTTAATCCTGGCGCTAATTGGTGGCCTCTCGTGCCCTCTGACTACGCAACCATTTTCATTTAACTGACAAGCATGTAACTCCCTGCATAGATATAAGCCACCCAATATTTCAAAGCTCTGCAAATAAAAATAATCGATATGTATGCTCAGATTAAATAGAATAACGGTGATAGCCCAACAAAAGCGTAGTTGCTTTGTTTCTGGAGTAAAAGTCAAAAGCAATTCATTTGCATTTTACATATAATAGCATTAGTAGGCGCGTGGCCGAATGTTTATAAGTGTAACATTCTGAACATATAAGACCCGGTTCAAAATCGGTCGGGGAAGACGATTCCAGATTTCGGCACCATTGGAAATTACTTGAAGAACACACCATAATCTGGCTGAGAATAGCCAGTAAAACACAAGGGGTTACAGGGCATGGAAGAATTAGAAACAGAAACATTAATAATGAGAGGGAAGTGAATATATTTATATGTTCGCCATATCCCCTAAACCCTGCTCCATAATCAAAACATTATCTATGAGTTATTAGTAGGAGACGTTAAAAACTTCTATATCTCCTTTCCTTTTCTTTTTTTAATCGTTATCACCCCATGCAAGGCATTAAAGCCACTAAGCCACTAAGACACAAGGGGGTTACAGGATAAGGAAGAATAACGGTGATAGCCCAACAAAATCGTAACTGCTTTGGTTCTGGAGTAAAAGTCAAACACGATTCATTTGCATTTTACATATAATAGCTTTAGTGGGTGTATGAACGAATGTTTATAAGTTTAACATTCTGAACATAAGACCCGTTTCGAAATCGGTCTGGGAAGACAATTCCAATTAGCGGAACTATTGGAAATTACTTGAAGAACACACCATAATCTTCTGATTGAAATTGAGGAGACGGAACTTTTTTTAAAAAAATCGGTATCACTCTATGCAATGCAGTTATGCCACTAAGGCACAAGGGGTTATTGGGCGTGGAAGAATTATGAACAGAAACATAATTAATAAGTGGGAAGAAGAAAGAGTAATCAGGAGGACAGTAGATAGCGATTGACATTGCATTTAAATTTTTGAAGATTAAAATTGGCTTGAAAGCATAGAGCCGAAAGAGAGTTCCACAAGCATGGTAGTAAAGCCACTAAGACACAAGGGGTTACAGGGCGTGGAATAATTACGAACAGAAACATAATTAATAAGTAGGAAGAGGAAAGAGTAATTAGGAGGACAGTAGATAGCGATTGACATTGCATTTAAATTTCTGCAGATTAAAATTGGCTGGAAAGCATACAACTGGAATGGAGTTCTACAAGTAAGGCTGTAAAGCCACTAAGACACAAGGGGTTATTGGGCGTGGAAGAATTAGGAACAGAAACATTAATAATGAGCGGGAAGAGGAAAGAGTAGGGAGTACTACAAGGGAGATGTGCAAAAAAAGAGATTTTTAGTATAAAACTTATGTTTGTACTTTCAACAAAAAAGCAACCCTTAAAACAATTAACAATTGTAGCACGAGACCGAAGGGAAGAGGAGTGAGTTTCGTCTATTTTAACTATCCTAAACCTAGCTAATTATTTTCACGACCCATTCATTCATTACCATTTACTCATTCACCACAAGAAGTCATCAATAACCATTAAAACTGAAATATACCACAGTAACACATGTTCACAGGGATCTCATAAAAAACACTCATAGTATAAAAATTTAATTTACAATGACTTTTTTTTATTTTTTGATAAGAATATATACAAAATTAATGATAGGAAATTAGTTGGGATGAGTCCTAAAAAGAAACTAAATTCAACTAAAAATGAAATATGTTAGTAGAGCCCACCCGTCCTTTGGACAAAAATAAGAAGAAAATTCGAATTGGTTAAAAAGACGTACCGCAGGCTGAGAAAATATATAATTTATAACTGTGCCAGCACGAAGTCACGCGTCATCGTGGCCGAGGGACTGAGCGTGCTGGACTTGTTCAAATTATTGATCACGCTAGATAACATGCTCTTTTCCCATAAACTGTAACTAAGGTCTGCTCAGTATAGTTGCAGTATAAACCACAAGTGGTTCTGTGAGTGTTGAATAAATGCAAGTGCGCCTGAGCAAGCGTCTGCAATAGGGATTGGCTAGCCAACCTAGTAGAAGGGAATAGTCGAATACGAGAGGACTTGAGCTGTTTATTCCAATCTGAAATGGGAATGTTTACATACTGTTAAAATAATTAACAATTGGAGTACGAGGCCGAAGGGAAGAGGTGTGAGGCCCGTCTATTTTAACTATCCTAAACCTAGCTAATTAGTTTCACTACCCATCCACATGTGGTGGTAGCACCTGTTAGGGTCCCAGCTATGGGCAAATAGTTGACATCCAAACTTGAGTAAAAAACTAGGGGCCTCAAATCAGGAGGTTTTGAGAGTGGAACCACCTCTTTTATTGCTAGTGTTTCCAGGTCCACCCTGACCCCGGGTGGTAGCACCTGTTAGGGTCCCAGCTATGGACAAATAGTTAGCACCCAAACTTGAGTAAAAATAGGTTTTAATGCAAGAAATACTTTGTAATAATAAAAAAAAATTATCAGCAATAATTTTTTTAAGGAAAGATTATTATCAGCATTACTTAAAAAAAAAATACCAGCAATACAAACAGCTGTACATTATTTGGAAAAAATATGAGCAGCTATAGATTTTTGAAGAAACGCATATTATCAGCAATAAAAATTTTGTCGGCATTAAATAACCCATCGAGGTTGATATGCCGTAAAACAAAAACCAAACCAAACTAATGTTTGTCTTAATTACTGACTACTGAAAATCCTTGTATAGAAAAAAAGCTTAGCAATGATAATCACGTTTACTGTTAATTTTCAATGCATTTCTATATAACAATATATTAATTCAGTAAAATCCTCATCTCGTAAATAACAATATATAGTTGTGATATGTAGAGACATAGTTTTCAAGATTTAAATAAATGATGAAGAAACAAGATGGAGGTCATGGGATATATTGTATTTTTCTCAAGTTAGTACTTTTCCGTGTACCTTTCGTATAGGCCAGGAGCCATACGTTTTTAGCATTTTCAGTTATTAATAAGGGTATTACCCGCCGAAACTAAATAACCACCTGCATCTGTAAATTATATTTTCATAAGTTTTTAATTCATATAATTATTTCAATGTTATACAAGACATGTGTATCGGCATTAAATTATTATTATTATTATTATTATTATTATTATTATTATTATTATTATTATTATTAATAATAATAATAATAATAATAGAAATAATTGGTATGAACACCACCCAGACCCGGTTACGGAGATAGGACCTGTTACAATTTTATGTGACTACACAATACACACAGAAAGAACAATCAAAGCAAGCCGCCCAGATATTGTTATTAGAGATCGCAAACAACAAAAATAAGTGCCTCCTTATTTATATGGCAGTACCTGAAGACTGCAATATATCTTTGAATATCTTCAAAAAGCTATTAAAATACAAGGACATTTTACGACGTCTCTCCATCCGTCTCTCTGTCTCTAGTTCTCTCTCAACGTCCTTCTATCCGTCTGTGCCTCTACACTCCTTTTTACAACGTCTCTCTATCCGTCTGTCTGTCTATAGTTCTCTCTCGACGTCCTTCTATCTATCTGTGCCTCTACACTCCTTTTTACAACGTCTCTCTGTCTCTAGTGCTCTCTCGACTTCCTTCTAGCTATCTGTGACTCTACACTCCTTTTTCGACGTCTCTCCATCCGTCTCTCTGTCTCTAGTGCTCTCTCGACGCCCTTCTATCCGTCTGTGCCTCTACACACCTTTTTACGACGTCTCTCTATCCATCTCTCTGTCTCTAGTTCTCTCTCGACGTCCTTCTTTCCGTCTGTGTCTCCATACTCCTTTTTACAACGTCTCTCTATCCGTCTCTCTGTCTCTAGTTCTCTCTCGACGTCCTTCTATCCGTCTTTGCCTCTACACTCCTTTTTACGACGTCTCTCTATCCATCTCTCTGTCTCTAGTTCTCTCTCGACGTCCTTCTTTCCGTCTGTGTCTCCATACTCCTTTTTACAACGTCTCTCTATCCGTCTCTCTGTCTCTAGTTCTCTCTCGACTTCCTTCTAGCCATCTGTGCCTCTACACTCCTTTTTCGACGTCTCTCTATCCGTCTCTCTGTCTCTAGTTCTCTCTCGATGTCCTATCCGTCTGTGCCTCTATACACTTTTTCGACGTCTCTCTATCCGTCTCTCTGTCTGTAGTACTCTCTCGACGTCGTTCTATCCCTCTGTGCTTCTATAGTCGTTTTTACAACCTCTCTCTATCCGTCTCTCTGTCTCTTGTACTCTCTCGACGTCATTCTATCCCTCTGTGCTTCTATACTCCTTTTTACAACGTCTCTCTATACGTCTCTCTGTTTCTAGTTCTCTCACGACTTCCTATCCGTCTGTGCCTCTATACTCCTTTTCGGCGTCTCTCTATCCGTCTCTCTGTCTCTTGTACTCTCTCGACGTCCTTCTTTCCGTCTGTGTCTCCATACTCCTTTTTACAACGTCTCTCTATCCGTCTCTCTCTCTCTAGTTCTCTCTCGACTTCCTATCCGTCTTGCCTCTATACTCTTTTTTCGGCGTCTCTCTATGCGTCTCTCTGTCTCTTGTACTCTCTCGACGTCCTTCTTTCCGACTGTGTCTCCATACTTCTTTTTACAACGTCTCTCTATCCGTCTCTCTGTCTCTAGTTCTCTCTCGACTTCCTTCTAGCCATTTGTGCCTCTACACTCCTTTTTCGACGTCTCTCTATCCGTCTCTCTGTCTCTAGTTCTCTCTCGACGTCCTATCCGTCTGTGCCTCTATACTCTTTTTCGACGTCTCTCTATCCATCTCTCTGTCTCTAGTTCTCTCTCGACGTCCTTCTTTCCGTCTGTGTCTCCATACTCCTTTTTACAACGTCTCTCTATCCGTCTCTCTGTCTCTAGTTCTCTCTCGACTTTCTTCTAGCCATCTGTGCCTCTACACTTTATTCGACGTCTCTCTATCCGTCTCTCTGTCTCTAGTTCTCTCTCGACGTCCTATCCGTCTGTGCCTCTATACACTTTTTCGACGTCTCTCTATCCGTCTCTCTGTCTCTAGTACTCTCTCGACGTCATTCTATCCTCTGTGCTTCTATAGTCGTTTTTACAACGTCTCTCTATCCGTATCTCTCTGTCTCTAGTTCTCTCTCGACGTCCTTCTTTCCGTCTTTGCCTCTACACTCCTTTTTACGACGTCTCTCTATCCATCTCTCTGTCTCTAGTTCTCTCTCGACGTCCTTCTTTCCGTCTGTGTCTCCATACTCCTTTTTACAACGTCTCTCTATCCGTCTCTAGTTCTCTCTCGACTTTCTTCTAGCCATCTGTGCCTCTACACTCCTTATTCGACGTCTCTCTATCCGTCTCTCTGTCTCTAGTTCTCTCTCGACGTCCTATCCGTCTGTGCCTCTATACACTTTTTCGACGTCTCTCTATCCGTCTCTCTGTCTCTAGTACTCTCTCGACGTCATTCTATCCCTCTGTGCTTCTATAGTCGTTTTTACAACGTCTCTCTATCCGTCTCTCTGTCTCTAGTTCTCTCTCGACTTCCTATCCGTCTGTGCCTCCATACTCCTTTTTACAACGTCTCTCTATCCGTCTCTCTGTCTCTAGTTCTCTCTCGACGTCGTTCTAGCCATCTGTGCCTCTACACTCCTTTTTCGACGTCACTCTACCAGTCTCTAGTTCTCTCTCGGCGTGCTTCTATCCGTCTGCGCCTCCATACTCCTTTTCGACTTCTCTCTATCCGTCTCTCTGTATGTAGTTCTCTCTCGACGTCCTTCTCTCTGTCTGTGCCTCTATACTCCTTTTTCGACGTCTCTCTATCTGTCTCTCTCTATATAGTTCTCTCTCGACGTCTCTCTATCCGCTCCTGTCTATAATTCTCTCTCGATGACTATATCCACCCGAGGCTCTATTTTTTTCAACGTCTCTCTATCCGTCACTAAGTCTATCGTTCTCTGTTAGTGTCCCTCTTTCTGCCCGTGTCTCTATTGTTCTTTTCCTACGTCCCTCTATCCGTCTCTCTGTCTGTAGTTCTCTCTTGGCGTCACTATATCTGCTCCTGTCTATAATTCTCTCTCGACGTCCCTCTATCCGCCTGTGGTTTTATAGTCATTTTTCAACGTCTCTCTATCCGATACTGTGTCTATAATTCTCTCCTTACCTTTCTCTATCCATCCGTGCCACTATAGTTCTTTATCTCTCTATCCATCCCTGTGTTCTCTCTCAACGTCTTTGTATATTTATACCAGAAATACTCTCTTTCTCTTTATATCCTTTATTTCCTAAATCTTATTTCTGTTTTTATCTTCCTTTCTTTGTTTTATTCTTTCTGTCTCTCTCTATCTCTTTTCACTTTCTCTGCCTCGTTTTGTTTTTATTCCTCTGACTCTTTTTTGTCTTTTTTTCTCTGTGTCTTCCCCTTTACCTTTTCATATGCTTTCTTTCTTTCTTTCTTTCTTTCTTTTCCTCTTCCGGCCTCTCTCTTTATATGACTCATTCTGTCTCTCTTTCTCTACCGTTTTTTGCCTCTCCCTTCTCTTTAACAGCTTGGACTTTTTTCTTTTGACTTCCACGGTCCCCTTTTTCTGTGTCTTTCCCTTTAACTTTCCATGTCCTTTCTTTCTTTCTTTCTTTCTTTCTTTCTTTCTTTCTTTTCCTCTTCCGGCCTCTCTCTTTATATGACTCATTCTGTCTCTCTTTCTCTGCCGTTTTTTGCCTCTCCTTCTCTCTTACTTAACAGCTTAGACTTTTTCTCTTTGACTTCCACGGTCCCCTTTTCTCTGTGTCTTTCCCTTTAACTTTCCATGTCCTTTCTTTCTTTCTTTCTTTCTTTCTTTCTTTCTTTCTTTCTTTCTTTCTTCCGGCCTCTCTCTTTATATGACTCATTCTGTCTCTCTTTCTCTACCGTTTTCTGCCTCTCCTTCTCTGTTACTTAACACCTTAGTCTTTTTCTCTCTGTCTTCCCCTGCCAGGTTTTCCCCTCCCTCACTCCTTTTGTCGCTTGCATTCTGTCTTTTTGCGCATCCTTGTCTTTTTTTTGTCTCTCTCTTTTCCATCTTTAATTCTTTGTCCTTTTCCATCTCTTTTCCTCTGCCTCTTAAAGTCTCTCTTTCTCTTTCACTGACACTCTGCTTCTCACTCGTGGTTTCTCCATTCTTCAAACTATTCTTGTATTTTTGAGATTCATTCCTTATTTGCCTATCTCTCTGTACATCTCCCTTTCCCTTTTGATCTCTCTCAGTGTGGTTCCATCTCTATTTCTATAACGCGGTTACTCCCTAGCCAAATGCCAGTATGTCTTTCTCGTTATTTTCTCTTTCGATATTTCTCAGCCCGTTTCTCTGTTTACGTCTCTTTCTTTATCTCTACATATTGTCTCTAGAATTCTCTCTTTGGTCGCTTCTGATTACCATTTCGTCATTCCTCATATACGGATTCTTGCAAGAACTTTTTTTTTTTCTAAGAACTCAAACTGAATCTCACGCCAACCCTTCCCAGGAAAGTTGCCATTTTCAACTTGTTAAAATCCTTCTTCGTCTTTAAACTTTTCCCAATCGATTCTGCTGACGATCCGTCTACTTTTCTTCCTATCACTTCTCCAGTCATCAGTGCCAAATACCAAAAGACCTTCACTGAACTTAGACACGTCATGAATATGGAAGTTAATTGGGGCCACAAACAGGAATGACAAAGCGTTAAGAGAAATAGATAACAAAGAATAGATGAATAAAGATTTGAAATGCAAACTTATGCAATTCTACCCCACCGCAGCAACGCAACGCAGTCCACATTTAAATTTATCTATGTTTGAATATATATATATATATATATATATATATATATATATATATATATATATATATTATCTATCTATCTATGTTTGAATGTATGTATGTATCTATGATTGAATGTATATATATATGTCTCTCTCTCTCTCTCTCTCTCTATATATATATATATATATATATATATATATATATATATATATATATATATATATATTCATATCTATGTTTGACTGTATGGATTTATGTATGTATCTATGATTGCATGTATGTATGTATGTATCTATATTTGAATGTATGTATGTATGTATGTATATATATATCTATCTATATATATATGTATCTATCCTTGCATATCTTTTCATATCTATGTTTGAATGTCTGTATGTATCTGTGTTTGAATATATATATATATATATATATATATATATATATATATATATATATATATATATATATTATCTATGTTTGACTGTAAGCATCTATGTATGCATCTATCTATATTTGAATATATATATATGTATGTATGTTTGAATGTATATATGTATGTATGTATCTATCTCTATATATATGTTCATATCTATCTATCTATGTTTGAATGTGTGTATGTATCTATGTTTGAATGTATATATATATATATATATATATATATGTCTGTTTCATATCTATTTTTGACTGTACGTATGTATCTATGATTGCATGTATGTATGTATGTATTTATGCATCTATCTATATTTGAATATATGTATGTATGTATGTTTGAATGTATATATATGTATCTATCTCTATATACCTGCTCATATCTATCTATGTTTGAATGTATATATATACATGTATATATCTTTCTCTCTCTATATATATATATCTATTCATATCTATGTTTGACTGTACGTATGTATGTAGGTATGTATCTATGATTGCATGTATGTATGTCTGCATCTATCTATATTTGTATGTATGTTTGTATGTATGTTTGAATGTATATATATATCTATCTATCTCTATATATCCGCTCATATCTATGTATCTATCTATGTTTGAATGTATGTACGTATCTATCTATGTTTGAATGTTTTGCTGTGCCTTTAAAACCCAATAATTTTAAAAATAAGTAATTCCAAAATTCGCTTGAGGATGAAATGGAACTAATGTCTTTAATTTAATTACAAAATTAAATTCGAAGATTTTAGCTTCCATTTTTGAAACATGGTTAGAAGAGTGTAGCGATAAAACCATATTTTAAATCAATTAATTTATAATATTAATGCTCTGTAAATTTACATTGAGCACTATTTTGTAAAATAAAAATATCTATAAGAACACCGGATTATATATCTTACTGTTCGTTCTTTCTTTCTTTCTTTCTTTCTTTCTTTCTTTCTCTCTCTCTCTCTCTATATATATATATATCTGTCCATATCTATGTTTACCTACGTATGTATGTATCTATCTATCTATTATTGTATGCATGCATGTATGTATGCATCTATCTATGTTGGAATGTATGTATATATGTATCTATCTATCTCTCTCTCTCGATATCAGTTCATATCTATCTATCTATGTTCATATCTATCTATTCATATCTATTTATCTAAGTCTGTTCATATCTATCTATACATATCTATCTATTTATCTATTCATCTCTCTCTCTCTCTCTCTCTCTCTCTCTCTCTCTCTATATATATATATATATATATATATATACACACGTTTGAGTTGTTAAAAAGTTGGCTTTCTAACATTGAGACCCAGGTTCGAATCTCACCATGTTACATTCGTCAGGAAGCTGATTTAACGATGCGCATTCGAAAGAAATTTTCTTTGTTAAATACCTAGGCCAGTCGATTGAATATACATTGTTAAAAAAATAGGTGGTCTTCTTTTTCGAAGTCGTTTATCCACTAAAAACAACGTCTGAAGTAATACACCCCCCTCTCTCTCTCTCTCTCTCTCTCTCTCTCTATATATATATATATATATATATATATATATATATATATATATATATATATATAATGGATAGATAGGTAGGTATAAAGATTTGTTTTGTTGTTTTCCCCGACTTCGAATTTTCTTGGTAAATGTCCGTTCTTCAGTGGGGTTTCGTTTTAAACGGTATTTCCAATTTTTGTTCCGCGTCTTTTTCAATCCGTTTTTTTTTTTTTTTTTTTTTTTTTGTTTTGTAAACTTGCCAATTCATGAACTTAACATTCTTTGAAACGCGAACGTTCATGAATTTTTGCTTTTGTTTACGTCTTCATTTTTTCATTTGGAGATTTTTCTTCCAGTCGTAAATTTTTTCTTCGAAATTAAATTATTTTTTTTTTATGCTTTACATAGAAATTGATACGTTATGTTATATTATTAATTAATTAATATCAATTAATATAATTAATATTTGTTAATTTGCATCATTGATTAAATTAAAAATTTTATGTCGTTAATTAAATTATAATATATTCTTTTTTTACTTATGTTGTATTATTATTAAAGTAACAAAGTTCGGAGTATATGAATCGGGCAGTAGATCAAGTTTCATTGACGTATTATTTTTTTTTTTGTAAAGAGAGTTTTTGTTGAGAGCATTGGTGATTTTTTTTTCGGGAATTTATTGTTGATATTTTTGTTTCCATAAAAATGTATTTTTACACTTTTATAGTGTTTCCACCCTAGTTTGAAGGAGGGCGTAACTATTAGTTCATAGCTGGCATCCTAATTGCTGCTACCACACCGGGTCACTGGACCTGTGAACAACAGCAATTAAGAGTTTGTTTCACGTTCCTCAAAACCTGCCGATTATAGGCAGAGCTGCCGGATTTAGTTTATCGTCATACCGAGGACATCATTAGAAGTGTAGAGTAAAGAAGGAAGCAAAAGTCCAATCCTAAACAAGAAGTCAGAGTTAAACTTCTCCTCCTTTACAAAAGACCGGGGAAGCCTGTGAACAGGAGAGATAGGGGGACCTATCTACTCCTAATTATTATTGAGGCTTTGTTAATATACCTTCACAAAACAATGTTAACCGAATCTTGTTAAAAAACAGGCATCTCGAATCTAGTCATTTTCTTACAGATGTACCATGCCTTCCCTCTGTCTTTCATACAATTATTTTCGTAACAACTGCTCTAACGAGCTACTTTCACTGGTACCCTGACTTCATGTATTCAAGTGTGCTATTAAGTTGGTATCTCGGTCCCACCCTTTCACTGTCGAAACAGTTAAATGTACCCGCCTCTTCTACTCCAGCAGCTTCTTCTCTCGCACTTCCCGACAGTGTAACTCCCTTCCTCTTACTTGCTTCCCTGACTTCTATCTTCAAATATTCAAATGTAATGTCAATCGATATCTTCTGATGCCTTGATCCTGATCCCCGTCCTTCTCTTTATCCTTTCCTCAAACACCCCCTTCTTTATTCTTACTCTCACGCCCGTAACACTTTACTTGCTAATGACACTCACGCCTTGCATGAGATGAAATGCTTAAAAAAATGAACAGGCTGTGCAATAGAATTTGCTTATGATACAAAGACGTACAGTTTATTACTGTTGCTTGATAGCGTGTTAAAACTGAGAGATAGTGATATATGAGTAAATATCTG